AAACAAAAGAAGAAGTGAGGAAAGAGGCCATATGTATGTAGCTCAAGAGAGTGCTTTGAGGGTTGAAGAAGACTTGAATCATGTGTATAGGAAATAATTTATAATGTAATTTGCTAGTTTTTCTTTATAGTTGAGACTTTGAAGGCATTCTTGTTGTACAGTGGGGAGGAAAGTGGCTGACTCACTTATGTGGCCGACTTGCTTATCAATTACGTTAACTTAGCTAATTAACTAATGCAGAGCTTCCAAGTCTCGATTTCAGCAATCTCCGATATATCCAAGCACCAGAGTGCGCCTTTCGAAGACCAGCTTTTCTTCTTTTATCCGTGCGTCCGGGAGACCCTCCAATATTCACACGACACCTTGAGATATCTGTTGAACCCTCATTATTCAATCCTCCCAGCCGCGCTGGGGCCCGAAAGTGCACAGTTACAATGACGACTCCCACAAGTGCATACAAGGTTCGCATTCAGCTCCGCTCCCGCTCGTTCCATCACTCTAATAGCGCATTCTAACCCCATTCCCCATCTTAACTAGGATCGCCAATTTCTCGCCGTCATAGGGGATGAAGAGTGTGTCCCACCATATCTATTCCAGCATATCCAACGTACCAGCTAACCCCCGTTTTCCCGTCGTGTCATAGCTCCGTAACAGGCCTTCTACTAGCAGGAATTGGCGTTAGTACCTCATCCATCTCCTCTCTCGATTCAAGGCCGCATTCTTTTCTCAAACTCACCAGGAAACCCCACCAAAAGTAGTAATGCCATAATGTTTACCAGTGAGCTGACCACGTACTCTTGTCCCTTTAAATAGCACGTAACCGACCCCCCAGACTTACAACGAAACTTCGTCGTCGTCGATGCCAAGACAGAAACCTCCGCCATTGAAAAAGCCTTTCACAATTTCACACAGGAGCGGAAAGATATTGGCGTGTTATTAATCAACCAATATGTATTATGCCCTTTGCCAAACCATCGTCTTTACAGAAGCAGAAGCTATATCTTCCGCAAAACTCGCTAAACTCCTCTTTGCGCTCCGTAATATTGACTCTCGTATTAAAAAATAACAGATTGCAGAACGCATCCGAAACAGCGTGGATTCGTTCACGGACGCATTCCCCGCCGTTCTGGAAATACCAAGTAAAGACCACCCGTATGACCCGGACAAGGATAGTGTTCTGCGACGCGTGCGGAGATTGTTTGGGGAATAATGTATGAAGTTATGTCAGTTGCTCTATGAATAGAGGGGCTGGGGATGGAGTCGTATGTATATTCGAACATGTGGGACTATGAATGAAGGGGCGTTTGAAAACGCCTAGCATAGATATCGTTCGTTGTTCTCGCGACCATCGATGGTTCTCTTTTAGATTAATCACATTGGCGGATGTTGGCAGGTGTGATTGTAATTTATTATTTATACATGCATATAAATGGGGATTGAGAGAACGCATACGGAACTGAGAATTGGAATGCAGATGAGAAACGCTACTTGAGCGCGAGGGGATTCCTTTCCCTTGTTTTCATTTTTTTTTCAATTTTTTTTTTTAAACATGTATACTTATATCCACTGCTATGTGTATTCGGCAACTGGTATTTATTTCCACTGAAATTCTAGAACTATCTGTACAATTTAACTTTTCTAAGTCAATGAATCTAACTGCAACTGCATTATAAGATCAGACTGTTTTAAATGGAGATACATCCATGACTAGCATGGCTGTTGTTGCTTTTATACCTTCAGTTACTATTCTATAACAGAATGATTGAGGAATCGGATTTTGAACTATGGTTCATCTTTCAGAACATACTTAGGAAGATTTATGCTGTAATACATATCTGTATTATATACTCACATGCAATCAAGAGACAAAAGAAGTAGGCAGACCGCAGAAAAGCAGGTGAAGCTATTCAAGGATGAAAAAGCGGAAGGAAAGCAACAAAACCATTCTCGAATAATTACTCTAGAAGTCAAATGAAATGAGAAGAGATCCAGAGCGTCAAATGGAAGAGGAGAAGAATGCGCAGCCAATAGACTGAGAAGCAATTGCGAATTCGAACAAGCAGCCAAATTAAGGTGAAAGATAACAATGACTGGATGGGAAAGGGGGAAGGGTACCACCTCTGAGACACCAGCAGAACTACAGACGAAGGACAATTCAAAAATCAAGTACGGTTAACGCTAAATTTGATAACTGGACGAAAAACAAGAATTAGTCTCTTTGACTGTAGAGACGGGAGGGCATGGAACACGGATAATACGAGGTAGAGTAGCAAGCAAAAAGTGAACTAATTAGGTTTGTCTATAACGAGTGTCGGAAGAAAATCGCTATAGGAGGATGCGGCAGGGAGATCTCCGGTCCGTAGTAAAAGAGTTACCACCACGAGAAGTAGTTAGCACTGGAATTCAAATTTAAAAATGACATGATGCCCTCAATATCCTTTAGGTTGGGGTGAGGCGTGAATCACTCCTGCTGGGGTTTTGGTTGAGCAGGGGCCATATCGGGCCGTTTGCGATGACAATATCGAGATACGTTGCATGGGTGAAATAGGCAGGGCAAAACAAGCAGTTGGCGAGACCACAGCCTATAGATAGTACAGTGTACGGGATAGTTTATGGTGTTTCGTTTATAGGTTAAACATAATCTCGGCCTTGAGGCAGGTTATCCGTTCCTTCTCCTTAGTATTCACATCGGCATAGACAGTGTACTTTCCCTATTTTCGAAATACGTTGGAGTTAACAAACCAAAAGCTGCCGCAGGTTCAAAACAAGTTATTTTGTGGATGAGTAAAGGGAGGTCTGTATATTTTGCTTACAGGTGGAATCTCCTTTGGCAGCAAAACCTCCTTCGCAATTGTCATGGGTCCCTTCTCCAGAGGACATGATAAATCCACATTTGTGATCTGCTCACACAAATCCGCCTCCTCGTTGATCAATCGTATAAGACCGTATTTCACCTGGAGGTAAACCTTGGAACCATAATCGACTTTCTTGGAAAAGATGCCCGTAGCGTTAATTAGAAGGGTTTCGCCGCTGGTACAGGAGCATGGTAAGTTGTTAGCAACAGAAGTCATCAGATTAAGAAGAAAAAAAAAAAAAGAAAGAGAGAGAGAGAAGAAAACATACGGTGTAGGGGGGTTTGGATCCAAATCTACAGATTCGATGGTCAAGATATTGGTCTCAGGCGAGGCACAGAAGCTGAACGGATTTTGTCCCGGGACCATCAAGTCTTGGGATGCGGGGGTAAACGGTATCTGGGGTTGACCGAAAAGTTGGAGAGACGGGACTCCCATGGCCAAAGAGGGCAAAAGAAGGGCGAGGATGGAAACTGCTCTTAACTGCATGGCGGCAATACAATGAAGGCGAAGAGGTATGGGGAGGGTGGAGGTGGGGGCTTGGGGAAAGGTTGAGGGGAAGGACCTCGACAGTTGAGGGGTAACAATCTTAAGGTTGTAGGTCTGGAAAGCAACGAATATAATGATAATAAGTGATAGTAGAGAAGAAGACTAGGGACTGGATTACGCAGAGAGAAGAAGCGTAAGTACTAGTAGGCGTGGGATTAGGGGTGGGTGTGAGTGTGAGAGAGAGGTTGAAGAGATGGCGATGGCGATGCTGCGTGATGCTGTAGAGATAGAGCGACCAGCGCACCGGTTGCTGACGACGACCTTTGATGGGCCGCATCTCTGGGGTTCGAATGGAAGGGGCTCGGCAGTGGAGGAACGGGGCTAGACCTATTCATGATTAGCCGCAGCGAACAAGCCGCTTGACAGGTCACATGATATCAAGGGTCTCAAACCCATCTTTACGCTCAGAGACTCACTTTCGAGAGGATCTAGGTAATGATGGAGTTTAACAATATCAAACCTTCCAAAATTATTTTCAAGGCAAAGCTTTTTGCCTCTGATTATTCTGTGATATTTCTTGTCATGGTTTTCGTGGCCAGATGTGTGTCACGGTTGAGGGCCACGACAGTCAGTGCTACGATCCAGAAGATTGTGAGTTGGATATCCATGTGCTTGAGTCTGCCGCCTATCGGTGACTAAAGGAGCGAGGGCTGTGTGGACATGGAGTCATTCCTCATTCTTTATAATGATGAAGTTCAACCTGCAACTGTGCCAATCTTATCAGAAAATGTTCCTTCATGATAAATACCTTCCCAGCGCTATTTTTCTGGAGTACATTCTGAATCATGAGATGATTCATCTGCACAGCTACTCACAGAAATGAATGGACAACTTTATCAAAGACCTACGGGAGAGTCATGGGGCAGGAGTACGGATTAAAAACCTAGGAACATGATGATTGTCAAAAATGATTCAGAAAGAGTTGTTTGAATAGATTTTGATTGAGCAGAGACCTACAACATTCCAGTCACTGATGAACAAAAATGGCTTTTGAATGATGAGGAGGAGATAGTTCTTGGCTTCCAGGACTGTTTAGTAAGTGCTCTGCACCAAACATGCATTCATTCTAAATCTCATTAACTCTATTGCAGCAAGCTGATTGTGCAACAGGTAAACTTGATGAAGCGTATCTTTTCTACTGCATTTGATTGAATCTAACCGTGTCATGCGTAAATAATGAAAAAGGCCACTATCATCAGTTTGTTCCCACGACTGGGAGTCTTGTTCGTGCCATATAGTCCTTTCAGTAACATTTGCAAATATGCTGGCACCACATTCATTGCGTATGTATCATCATGAGAAGGGACCGATGGACATGATGGTGGAACATATGATGATGAAGATAATGTGATGGCTAACACGGATGGTCTATTAGATCCACCACATCAAGAGCAATAGTCTTTTCAAAAATATGACTTGAATAAAAGGGGGGGGGGAAGGCTAACTAACGCTTTTTTCAAAACTCAGCCGATTAAGAATACTATCATCCGAAAGCTCTTGCTGAAACTGACCAGTCTCTCGATTTTCATAAGATTTAGACAAGAATTGGGGGTGTGATTGATGAAAACATGCTTTTCTTCAAAAAGTGAACAATCATCAAGAATTTTCATTAACTCACAATGCTTTATTCAAATAGTATGAAAATTGAATAGAAGGGAGATTGAGTCTCAGACAATAATCTCAACAATTACTAAGAGATTTCTCTAAAAGGGCTATGCCCTAACCCTCATGATACTCAGGCTCTGCCTTCGTACGATCGAAGCAGCGCTATCAAGGCAGCGCCTCCACCTTATTCATATACTACAGAGGCGGCGCCTCCACCACCGAGGCAATGCCTCAATCATCCCCGTATAAGCCCCTAACTACCGAAGCTCTGCCCTTTATAAAGGAAGCCTGATCCCTACATGATCTGTCTTTCTTTTTCCTTCTTTAATGATTCCTTTATGTTTTCATACGCTTTAGTTATCGGCTGTTCTCAGCAACTAGCCCGTTACAATTTCACTAGCTCATTGTGGTGAAAATTCATGTTTTATCTACATGAAAACGCTGCTGATTTTATAAGTACCTTTTCACACCACCCTCGCCAAAGTTTGTCTAGACATGGCAGAAAAGATATCTGTGGAGAGTGAAGAGCACATGGTCTAAGATCTCTGCATCTAACATCTGTAGACTACAGGCTCAAGGTTAGAACTAGCTGAGTATAGCTGAGAATAGAGATAAGCTAGAACTAATATCGAGTTAAGGTTTGTTAGGGATTTCCCTTTTTAATATTAGTGTAAGCCCTGCCCCTTGACTGTTTATTGGCTCAGAAGCTGAGAACTTGCTGAAACCATGGGAATCACTATGGCAACTCCGCTGGCGTTAGCGGGATGAAAAGAATGATTAAATTAAATTGTAACCACTCAAGGGCAGCCATTCAAAGTAAACAGAGCACTTGAGTATAAAGGACACGCGAAGTGTGCTTTTCCATTGTATATATTGAGGAAAGGGGCCTCATCTTTGCTAACAAGGGATAAGTTTTAGCGGTCTCTGGAGAGCTGCTCAGGGGTGGGTTTGGTTTGGCCTTAGTCATGCACGGTCCTAGCCCGCCCCTTTTATTTGTTTCGTTGAGCGCGACTTCGTTGGTGAACCAGTCAGTTCCTTTGACCGCATCAAAGCAGCAACTCCCATAGGTGTTGATTGGTCCTTTTGAGAATGGAAAATTCATCAAACCGCTTCCTTGTTTCGGGCTACTCAAGAAGGTCAAATACGCACAATTTAGGGGATTCACGATATTCCGAACGTGTCTCTTCTAGAGCCTTCGCACGTCCTGCAACAGCAACACGACGGGTTAGTTTCCAAGGTTAGCTGGCCAAATACGGTTTCAATCCCCCTATTTTCGTTCGCGCTTATTACCATTCCGTCGCGATCGAATAGGATTAATCTGCACCCGGTTCCTTGCTCGGCGGCTCCATCCGTTCCCCACATCCGCGTTCTTCACTCAGAGCCAAGCCGGGTCAACCCTTTGACCGTAGTTAATGCTCCCTTAATTTATATACCAGCATCTGTTCCCAGCAAGCTATCGTCTCTCGCAAATATCATACATCATAACTTCCTAACAATTCTGTATTTTTGTTCCCGTGTTTGCTTCTCATTCGTCACGTATAATTAGGATACCAGTCTAACTTTTCTCCCTTTACAACTCCTAGTTAACCTCGCACCAACTCAACGGTCTTTTATACCGTCCAAATGGAGGGACTTTCACAAGAAGAACGCAACATTATCAAGAACCATCCTCCAACTGACTCAGTGGATAATTTACGAGGCGTGCTTCAGGAAGCTGAAAAAAATCTATGGGCTGCGCGTAACTTCCCGCCTTGACCAACTCTATCAAGGAGCAGCTTCGGGACTCCTCTCTGCTTTACAGGGAGAGGATGCAGCTTACAACCTTCGCTCACGGATGCATGATGGAAATATGGCATCTGATCTAGCACGCTTAGTCGAGCGCCTCCAAAAGACAAAAGGAAACTTCAGATACGATGAGTATCGCCTGCTGGTATGTCTGGTCATTCAAAGGCCACCAGACATTGAAGTCCAGAGTGTTGAAAAATGGAACTTTGAGATCTGGACAGCTGTATTTAGCCTCATTGACAACATTCTTCAAACAACTCCTCCAGTGAGCATCTCTCCCTCCTTTGACAGCACGCCAGTCAAATCCACCTCATCATCACAGATAGGTTCTGAGCAGAAACGTGAGTTGGTGAATTCAAGAATCTTTGAGGAGATATGTGACTGCACATTTCGAGACATTGAGGGCTTCTTTGACAAATACTTTGAGGAGAAGAACTGGAGCAGCAAAGCAGATGCCATCTGTCAACGCATACTGGCCTCAGACAGTGATGGTAATTGGGCCCAGTTTCCTGATCCTCCTACACAGGATAATGTCCTCACCTGGTGGTTTCGTCTTCAAGAAGACCTTCTCTCAGAATCATGTGGCATCTACTACACCACAGTGAGCAAAACAGATCTTACTAGTTGAAAGGCAGAACACCAAGTTGACCTTCTTTTGCGAGCTAGAGATGAGAGCCTCTCACAAAACAAACACAACTGGAGAGACATCCTGGTGATTGGTGAGCTCAAAAAATCTAAGAATGAGATCAAGACCAAAGCCACACTGCTGCAGATCAGCCGCTGTGTACGTGAGGTCTTTGCTGCGCAGCCCACCCGGCGGTTCATTCATGCATTCAATGTCTGCGGGACCAAGATGGAGGCATGGGTGTTTGACCGCTCAGGCCCCTACAGCTCAGGCATCGTTGATGTCTACACAGACTCAAAACGGTTCTTTCAAGTGCTTGTGGGCTACACCATGATGAGTGATGAGGAGCTGGGACTGGACACCTTTATTGCTAGGGATGAAGACGGCAACAAATCAATAACTGTCAAAAAGCCTGAGAACTCAGAGGAAAAGAAGGTGCGGCTGGGTGAAATGCTTTCCTGTCAGTTTGCTATCGTGTGTCGCGGAACCACATGTTTTCTCGCAAATGATGGACAGGGCGTAGCCAAATTCTCATGGGTGTCAGACAAGCGGCAGTCACAGGTGGAACTCCTCAAGCTGGCAGGTCAGAAGAATGTCCAGGGGGTTGCCAGGATCATTGGCCATGGTGCCATCACTAGTATCACTGACATGCGCTGCAGCCTGACCTTCAACAACAAACGCCATGACTTCAAAAGCTCACCCTTCAGCAGAGCCTCCTCAATCCATCAATCTCAGGCGCTCACCGAGGCCTGTCACTTAGATATCCGTCAAAAGTCATCATCCAGGAAGTGCAGATACCCAGACAAGGGGGTGCAGGTGTTCAAACAATTACATTCCATCAATTAATCATCAAGAGACACCCAGGAGGAGAATGAACTAGCTTTCTCCATTCAGTCAACACACAAACCAAGTCTCTTCGACAGGAATGGTGAGGAACTCTATGACAACCGTGTTCTTCACTGTCTTGTGATCTCACCCGCTGGCCGGCTGATCTATGACTACAGGTCACCCTTGGAACTTCTCACAGCACTTCGCGATGCAATAAAAGCGCACCGGTCTCTTTACCTGGATGGGAACATTCTTCATCGGGATATTTCAGAGAACAACATAATAATAACTGATCCAGACAAGGCAGATGGCCACTCAGGCATGCTAATTGATCTGGATCTTGCCAAAGAAGTTGGGAGTGGGCGAAGCAGTGCACGGCACCGCACTGGTACAATGGAGTTCATGGCGATTGAGGTGCTGCTTAATATCGACCATACCTACCGGCATGATCTCGAGTCATTCTTCTACGTGCTTATCTGGCAATGTGCCCGTCATGGTTGGGACAAGTTAAAGCGGTTGCGGGCATTGTATCAGTTACATGGCTGGTTGGGAGATAGTATGTTAGAAATATGGTACGCTGGAAGCCATGAGAAAATTGCAAATGCCAAACAAGGCAACATTGGAGCTGGTGGATTTGAGCGCATCTTAACAGTTGAATTTTCTCCACCGAACAACAGTTTACTGACAAAATGGTACACTGATACTTACAGGGAGATCGCAAGAATTAAACGAAGCGACATGGGTGCAGATGGGTTTGAGGATATTTTATCTGAGTTTCCCCCAATATTTGAGTATGCCAAACCTCTTTGCAGAGCTATACGAGACATTCTTTTCCCGTATGGGGGCAGAGGAGTTATCGTTGGTACCCCGCAAGACCCAAACCGCTTATACGATCCAATTATCAAGGCATACGATGATGCGATATCTTTGATTGGATGTCAAAGTGATTAGATAATGAAGATCGCGGTGCCATTACTTTGTTTTTAAAATTCACACGTTGCGATGGAATATTTCGCAGCTGCCATGAAAATAGTGATGTACCGCTGTAGATAGCTGTTCCAACCCTGTCCCTCAACAGCCAAACAGCATTTTTACATATACATATATAGATCAAGAGCCAATAGGGCGTCGTCCAAAACAGAAAAGCAGGAGATTTAAAGCTTGCTTATCTTCCTAGAATATAAAAAAGAGCAATCATTTTATAGCTTCAGCTAACTCCACACCTACAAAGGAACTCTTTTCAACACGAGGCGTAACTTGCACGGAATTGGCCTAGGAACGTGACCTTTCTTTTGGAGCACAGTATAAGAAGCTGCGGACGGTAATGTGGATTATATTTTACAGTATATTGACATCGATGGTGGGATGGTACGATATATTTGGGATATATCGCATGGGATGAACTGGAAGGTTCCGCCAGAGAATGTAGATTACTACGGCAATGTACAAGAACGAAGGTATCTATCTAGTCCAGAATAAATTGACAGCAATTGCATTCGGGAAGAAAAAATATAAAATCAAACACAGAACATAAACAAACAAATGAAAATAAAATAAAATAATCCATGAACTCCAATGCCAACCCTGGATCTCATCCTATTATTGAACGCCAGAGTCCAGCGCCTCTCAGCGGCGTTGAGTCTTGCCGATTCCACGTTTCCCAGAGAACTATAAAACGGGAAAAAAGAAGGGAAGGGGGTGATTCACAGTTAGCAATATGTCCCGCATTATAGCTAAACAGAGACAAGGGAAGAAATAAACTTCAACATATATATCACTCACCAAATGCTTTGCCAAAGAAGCCGTTTGATGTCGATCTGCTTCACCTTGTCTCGCCATCCGATTCATCTTCTTCTGCGCAAGCCTGGCCATCCTATCAGCCTTGCTTCGAGATTGTATATCTGTTATGCCGTCGACAAGACGATTGGTTGGCCCCTGGCTGCGAGCTCTGCTTTTGGCGCGTTCAAGCAGTTCATGCCGAGAGGTGTTGGCAGCACCACTGTCGATCTCCATAGCATCCGCCGCTTCGACCCCGGTTCGGGAGGTCGTCCGGCCACGGTATTGGGATTGGGTTTGAACGCGGCTGGACGCGGATTGCGCGTCGTAACCGATTGATTGCAAATGAGAATTCATTTCAGAGAGTTTGCGAGCTTTGACGCTGCGAGGGATAAGTGCGCGGTTCTTGAGGGATTTTCGCATCTTGGACGCGTTGCGGATCAACTGCTGCTTCTCGCGGATGAGGTCAGCCTTCATGCGAATGTCGACTTCCTCTGCATCTTCGACGCTCTCGTCGGAATCATAGTATCCTTCCGCCTCCAGTTTCTCCTCCTCCTCTTCCAGCGCGGCAAGCTTCGCCTCAATGTCAGGATCCACAAAGTCGTAGACGTTCTTGCCATTCCATACTTCGGGGATCTTGTCGTGTTTCCACTCGTCATTCGCAAGCATGTAGCTATCTTTCAAATTTACGTTAAATACACCCGCACCGCCGTTCTCTTCTTCCGTGTCCCTTGCAAGCTTGCGTTTCTCAGGATCGTGCTTATCGTATTTCTTCAGCGATTTGACTGCTTCGGGTATGAAGACTTCGCAAGTGACTCCACCAATGGGTTGTGCAACGTGGATTCTAGCCAAAAGATCACCCAGCCTTCCAGACGGAGTACCTGCATTGTTAGAACCCGTTTTCAGCTTCTGGGCCACTCTCTCTGCGAGAAGTCTGTCACAGGCAGCATTCTTCACGGCTGTAACTCCTTCTGTAGTTGCACACGAAACCTGCAGCATCTCCACTTCCGCCGGTTTCAAGATAGACTGGAGTTCTTCTTGGGTCGATGCATCCAAATCTTCTGGTCGCATTACATCGATTTTATTAACCACCACGTAAACGATCTTATTTGCAAACAGCGGCTTAATGCTGTTGAATAGTTTAATTTGATCCGTCACTGAATAGCCACACTGTTCCGACAAGTCCATAAAATAGAGAATCACAGATCTCAAATGAGCAATAGCGGTAATTGACTGCATTTCAATCGTATTCATCTCTTCAAGAGGGTGGTCCAAGATGCCAGGGGTGTCAATAGCCTGGAAGCGAAGGTACTTGTAATCGAAATGCCCGACGAACAAGCTTTTGGTAGTGAAGGCATACGGCTGTACGTCGACATCCGCCTTGGTGATATTTCTCAGAAAGCTGGACTTGCCAACGTTGGGATATCCACAGATAAGGAGCGTTCTAGTATTGGGATCAATCGAGGGCAGACGCCCAAGATGCTGCCGCACCTGTTCGAGATAGACAAGCGGATCCTTCAAACGTCTGCATATCGTCGCCATACGACCCAGAGCAGCTCTTTTGAGCTGTTTGCACTGGAATAGTGACTGGGCATATTTGATGAGGCGGACATAGTCCCGGGAAACGGTTTCTATCAGATGTTTGGCAGTGGCAAGCTGGCCGAGAGCAATACGAAAATGGTCGGCATCGTAAAGTGTATTCATCAAATCCTTGTCTAAAACACACAGAGAAAGGTTCAAATCAGTAGATGATCACTTGAGAAATCACACATCTTCTCCGAGCACAGGAAAACTGGGCCCAACTCACGAAATGGATGAATATCCTGCAGTCTTGGGAATCCTTCCAGTATCGCTTGGAATTTCTCGCAAAAGGTCTCTGATGTGAACTTGACTTTTCTGGTATAAAAGGCTACAGAAGTCGTGAAGCATGTCAGCTTGTATAATTTTTTCCAACGACCACCAGCTTGCATCCAAAGCGATAGCTTCTCTTTTGTCAAATAATATACTGGTCCATCCACCAATCCCCTATCGAATAGGAGACTCCTGAAAGAAATATATATGGAAAATAACAACCCACCTCTGATCCGACTAATCTTAAACCCAGCCCGAATCTGTGTGGGCAACCGCCTCTGTGTCCGACTAAGAACGATATCCAGGAACTCCTGGCTCGAAGGCACAGGCTGAATCTATTGACAGCAAAAGAAGAGAGGTAGAATTTATCAAATCAGCCACCAAATTTCGTATTCTCCACAACAACAAGTCCATTCCGCAAAAATAAGCCGGATAGGAATGGATAAATAAGATCCACGGATTGAATGGGTCAAACATACCTCTTTCCAAGTCGTTTTCATGATACCTGCTTAAAGAAAAGCAATAAGGAGGAGGCGGATGGGAAGACAGAGGGGACTCGATGAGATAAATGGATGCAAAGCGGGTGCCTTACAGTCGTTGTCTTTCCTCGCCGTCGTCGTCGTCTTCTGCAGCAGAATTCCAGAAAAAACATAAAAAAGTGTTCAAGTGGTTGGAAATGATGACCTGCAATGGAAGTTTTTCCCGAGCCGGTGGGGAGAAGCAGAAGGGAAGGTTTAGCCTATCAGCTTATCAACTGCAAAATACCCATTGCACAATAACTAGTGAATATGATATATTAACATTGATTACTTGTCTTAGGGATTCATTCCAACAGCCTTATGCCAAAATTAGGTCTTAATATCCACAAATTCTGTCTGTCCTCCACACTAACAGCTCCTGATTGCCCGTCCTTCCCACAACCATAATATCAAACCAAGAGAAGACAAATGATCGTATACCAGTTGTTCCTGGCACTTGATGCTGTGTATATATAAATAATAAGTCTCCGAATAGAGCACCCTATATACAATAAGAAATAATGCAAACATGACAACAGTGCATAAGAACAGCCTTACATACTAACATCCGCCCATCCCTATACTGTCATTATTCCGTGTTTAAAATTAGATATAAAAAGCACTACCATTATCTTAGCCGCGTCAAAAATCCTGTTGTAAAGGGGGGCAAAACAAATAAAAAAAGGGAGGAGGGAATAAATTATTCTTCGAAAACAGAGTTTCCCAGGTGGTTTGACACCATATGTGAAGGAAATAACAATAGTCAAACGGACCGCGGATGAGGATAATCAGCTTTTCTGCCGATGTCCAGGTCAATGTCAACGGCAGATAGCATATCATGCAACCCTTCTGACTGCGCTTACTACTCCGATTTCTTCCAATCTAACCGACCATAAAGCCGAAAAGCATGTGGAATGCTCAGGTTCATACTCATGCTTGTGCTGAGTGAATAAATAGTACAGCATGAGACCAAGCCAAACCAAACCCCGAAAAAGAGACGGAAAAAAAAAAAATGAAAAGGAAAAGGAAAATGGAGAAATAAAAGGAATGAAAATTGGGAGGGTAAAAATGATAGGAAGAAGGGAAAATAATCACGAAAGATAGAAATAGAATAGGTAAGGCATTGCAACATCCCACAGAAACACCGAAAAACAGAAATTGGTTTGTTGGGACTTTTGTATAGCTCAAACTCCCGCGTCTGAGAACTCTAGAACCTACATTTTGTCACCAATAGTTGATTAGTGTTGAAATTCATGCGGTTGATGTAGATATGGGTATGTAAGTATGCATACCATGCTATACCATCCCCCACCCCCAAACGTGCAGTCACTCAAACCCCGATTCTCAAACCCCAAACTGGTGTAAAACGGTATCAGATGGTCATGCGCCAGGAGCGCAATACGGTTAGCAATAGCGGCATCCTTGATCCGCTGGATATACGATTTCATAAGAGTTGATCCCAGACGCTTACCCTGGTGCTCTGGCAAGACTGCGAGGGAGTGCACTGCGATTGTGGATCCTTGGTCCTGGTGGCCGAGAGGTTCTGACCCGTTGTCAGCTCCGAGTGTGGAGGTGGGGGTGGTTTTGTCTTGCCAGTTTGGCGGGATACCTATGGAGGCATCGGTTACGCATAGTGCTGGGGTTCTTGTGGCTAGAATGTGGGCGACGAGTGTTGGTTGTGGTTTAGGTTGGCCGGGCTCCCGTGGGGGAAGGGAGAAGATGCCCAAGGATAGTTCGGGGCATTTGGTTAAACGATATAATATCTGTGGTAGGCACATTAGATATAATTCAGGGAAAGAAAAAAAAAAAAAAAAAAAAAAAAAAAAAAAAAACCTGGCGACTTTTGTCACATCCCCCTTGCTCATGGATAAAAAGAATATAAAAAGGCGAAATAAATTACCTTTTCCTCCGTACACCTCTGATGCTCCGGAAACGCCGCCTCGACCGCCAGACAATCATTCACATTTGATAAAGACAGCAGCTGGACGAATGGATGTAGTTGATCTAGCTGTGTAGGCTTCGTCGGTGGTGGGCGCCGGAAGTACCATCCATAGTCAGCTACGTCGTCATGGTCAACTTCGACAAACCCGTCCTCGTCATCATCAATGTCGTCCCCTTCCAGCTCCAATTCGTTAGTCACGATGCTATCTGCCTGTGCTAGCTTGGAACGCTCAGCAAGTCTCGACTGTTCCGTGAGGGGGAGAGGATGTAATTTGGATCGTGAGGGATCTGTGGAATCTGCGGTGCGGGGGAAAATGATGACTCCAGGGGAGCCGTTATTATTATATTCTTATTATTTTTACCGGCAGACAATTCAACTGGTGGATTAAACACTGCCATACCGTTTTCTGACATTTCTGATATCTCAAATGGTGAAGGATTCGGACGGGATGGAAAGAATGTGGGGGAGAGGAGAGAGCTGCAGGGATTCCGCCTATGATGATATCTAGATTAGCGCATCTAATCGAGTTTTGTGTAGTTTTTGTATCTGGGGAGGAATTCCTGCGATCCTGCGGTACAAGAAAACTGGGAGGAGATATGTTCACACACAGAGAGGGTGGAAGGAAAAGACAGATAAACAGTGTCCCGCGACGACAAAGGATTCGTGGGATGGGCAGAGTTTTCAACTTTCAAAAAGAACACACCTCTTTCAATAGGCATAAATAGTTTAAATGATCAACCAGCTCTCGGACAGGCTTCACTATCTGGTATTCGCAGAAGAGATGGGACGTTTCCTTACTTTGCAGGGTTGATTCTGGTCTGGTCTTCATATGGGCATCACAGGTGTGATGCAGGCGTTGGTGATGTTAAGTTGGGAGCCAGTGCCGCAAGTGCCAAGTTTGTAGGTTATTGGAGTGAGGGGCAACTTTGCAACCCAAAACCACTACAAAGATGGGCATTGTCGCCTGTTTGCTTTTTGTTAATGTATGTATATACGTATGTAAGTAATTTGTTTCTTTTACTTTTATTAATTCACTCTGGTCGTTGATAAAGAAGAAATTCTTTTGCAATTCAATCGACTATTTAAGAGCAGGCGAGCGGACAGATAACTAAGTCGTGGTCGTGGTTGTGGTTTCTTTGGCCTTGGGCGGGTTGCATAAGAGTACATTTTATCTGGTAATTTCTCTGGATTTTGAGGATGCGGGAATCTCTGAGCTCTTGAAGGAAAAATTGAAGATTTTTTTTGAAAGAAAAGATTGCGGGGCGGGGTTGGTGGGTTGAACATGCCAAATGGGCATAGACAACGAATGTGTGGTACTTCAAGGGTACCTCAATACACAGTATATCAATTGATGGAGTGAAAGTTACTTCGGAGTCACACTAAAGTGACACTTATTTTGTTCCTGCAGTGGCGGGGTAATCACCCTCCATGCCTTGTTCGAGAGATTCGATGTTCGGGGATACATAAACAGGACAGCGAGTACAAATCATTCAGATATAGTGAATTTATAACTATTTTTGACGTCTTGCCCATATCCTACTCGGCATTTTTATGTTTAGTCTAGACAAGCAAATTAAATCGCTTAATGTGGTAATTCAAGGTGACGGACGTCACAACGGGACTCAAATCTGCCGGTAAATTCTCCCCATCGTAGCTAACTTGGATACTTGCCTTCGAATGATTAAGGTAGTTAACCACCTTGTTTTGTTTTATGGAAAAACCCTCAGGTTATATTCTCTCACCTAACCAAAACAGGCTCATCTACTTCTCACTCAGTTGTTCAGATACTATTTCGGCGGGAAGTCAAGATCCATGCCAGATATTTGTTGAACTAGTTTATGATCAAGGAGACATGGCCGTATCGCATTCATCTTCTATCTCCAACCGGCCACAACATAGAAGGGTAATTCCATTGGAGATATAGAGAAAAACATGCATATGTTTCACGGATTCGGGATTACTGTCAGGTGCGAGCCGCATACAACCACAAAACGAATAGAGTATCCTCCAATGAGAATTGGGCGTTATATCGATTGGCCTGCGTATTAGAAGCGCGAGTCATGCTCTTTAAAATGTCATGGTCGTTGGGGGATATAGCGAAGGTCAATAAAACTAGCTGGTTAAAATTTTTGGTAAATTCGCTGGCCAAATGACAAACAAACTACTGTTAACTAGTAGCTTCGGTGTGTGTTTACATCGTTCATTTCCTTCCCGATGTTAACTGCCGGTATTTCGTGTCGCCTTCAAGAAGAACCTGGCAACCAGAACTAGAAGCTGTAATTACTCTGGAGAACTTGATCGATCACAAATTGATGCTGGCTCAAGGATAAGAGCAGGTGTTGCTTTTGGCGGAACAATTGCCCGGAGTCATTAAATCATTGCAAAGTAAATACACCGCGGAAACCCTGGTATAAACTCTCATCTCAGCTATGGTCGACAGGGAAACGCGGTTCCTGAAAAAAAGGCTGGATAGAGCTGCAGTAACGTTCATTCATGAGAAGCAACAGCAACCTGGATAATCCCAATGGCCAGCCACTTGATGTGTTCTCCTCGGAAAATGGTTTAGTGAATCATGGTGCGATATTATCGCGACAGGGAGGCAGGTGTGTCTATCAATGTAATTTCATTCATGGGGTCGCGATGATTCAGAGTTGGAGGATCTATCTCCACGGTGAGCGAGGGTGACGCTGGTGCTGAGACATCTGCGACTCTCCCTCAATGATTCTCTTTCCTCTCATCATGGACTAGCTGATAAAAGGGTTACCGTAGACAAAAAAAGAGATCACCTGTGTTGTAACTAGCATGTCGCAGGTAGAACGGGATAACGTGGCGGCGTCAACATAAGGGACGGGAATCATTATCCTGTTGAGGACTGCGCTGCAAAATCAGCAGTGAGGATGACAATGAGTGAGAACTCCTGTAAATAGAGCTCCGTACAGCACATACCTAGGTAAGTTGTATTGGGTTGCGCTTCTCCTTGTTCTTGTGCTGAGCGATGTTAAAATAGATGGATGTCAGAATGAGCTCCAGCAGCCTTGGCTGTGTTAGTAAGCCTCCCGGTCTCTCACTTCGCCCAACTTCTCTGTTCTTCTTTCCCGTTCCCCTTTAGATTTGGATTAATTTCTCTTTTTTATTTATTTATTTATTTACCTATCTAATATCTCTCTGCTTCAGTCTCCCTTTGCTCAACCAGCTGTATCTGTGTGGCCTCCGTCCTAGCTATAACCAGAAATAGTTGAAGCTGCGTGTTGTTGCTCCGCCATCATCTTGCCTCTCCACCACTACGTTGCCCTCACCATACCTCCTTTCTCTCTGGGACCGGCTTGAGACACTTCATTTAAACAGCCCATTATTTGCCGCTTTCTCTGGACATCTGCTTTCTTACCCTTAGACTAGATATTCCAACCTAGGAATTTCCTTTCTCCTCCGACTCCAACCTTAGAACGCTGCAGCCTGCTCTATCTGACAACGAATCGATCGTCCGGCCCAAAAGGGGGCCCCCCTCGGTAACTATGTAAGATTGTTTTATCCTGGAAACGGAACTCGAATTTTGTTTGCTAGTTTCGCGTCTGACGTCTACTCTGTAGGAAAATATCTGTATCCGTTGTCGCGTCGGACCTGCAAGTCGACTCCGATCTCATATCCCTCGATGTTGGAGACGACATGACTATCGCAGATCTCAAAGCCGTCATACAAAGCGATATTAACGTAACTCCTTCCGCATTGCGTCTTTTCTTCAATAACCGGCTCTTAGCAAGCGATTCTCAGACATTGGCACAAGCCAAGATTACGGAGGGAGACATGCTTGCCATGCAGATTCTAACTCAGCCACCACGCCCACAGCAACAGCAACAGCAACAGCAACAGCAACAGCAACAGCAACAGCACAACAACATACGGCGGTTAGCGGGAGGAAATGCAAGTTCAGATAACGAACAAGCCACCAGACAGGGATCTATGCCAGATCCAGAGACATTGCGGCTACATATGCTAGGTGATCCAAGAGTGCTAGAGGGGGTGCGAAGACAAAATCCAGCACTAGCAGAAGCAGCAGGGAATGCGCAACAGTTCCGTGAAGTGCTGCTCGCGCAACAACGGCAAGAGGCAGAGGCAATCGCTGCGAAGGAAGCAAAAATTGCAATTTTAAATGCGGATCCATTTAACGTGGATGCGCAGAGAGAGATTGAAGAAATTATTCGCCAAAATGCAGTCTTGGAGAATCTACAAGCAGCGATGGAGCACACACCTGAAGGTGAGTGGTATTGCTACGATTGTATTTTATCCTTTCGTCTAGTGTCGTGTGGTTACTGATAGCTCATTCTAGCTTTTGGTCGGGTAAGCATGCTGTATATACCTGTTGAAGTGAACGGCCAGCGGGTAAAGGCTTTCGTTGACTCGGGTGCACAAGTCACAATAATGTCACCAGAATGCGCCTCTGCATGCAATATCATGCGCTTAATAGACCGTCGCTATGGTGGCATTGCTAAAGGCGTTGGGACAGCTGATATCCTCGGACGAGTACACTCCGCCCAGATTAAAATCGGAGATATTTTCCTTTCCTGCTCGTTTACTGTGATGGACGGCAAACACATCGACCTTCTTCTTGGGCTCGATATGCTTAAACGACATCAAGCCTGCATTGATCTGCAAGATAACGTTTTAAGGATCGCAGGTCAGACCGTGCCCTTCCTCAACGAAGCAGATATTCCCAAGCACGATGAACCCGAAGATGAGCCACAGGTGCATGGACGTGATGGTGCCATTGTAGGTGCCCGGTCAGGTGCTGTCACCCATCCGGCTAACCCGCCTTCATCCTCCACTCCACAGTCCCACTTCAAGGCAGCAAATTCCCCAATCTCTCCTGCTTCCACACCAAAAATAAACATTCACTCTGCTTCCTCTGCTGGGCCGTCCTCCACCTCCTTCAATAATCGGAACACTTATGCGTCCAGCCAGCAATTGTCGGCATCGCGATGGCCCGCTGAGTCAATTTCCAAGATAACGGATCTTGGCTTCACGCGAGAAGAAGCACTACAAGCTCTTGAAGCTGCTGGTGGGGATCTGGATGGAGCCATCGGCTATCTTATTTAAATCGCATGCTCTCTCGTGTCGGACACTCTTTTTTATAAGTTAATGACATGACTCCCGCCTACGGTCTTCCGTGATTTCTCAGTCGATAATGATAATAACGTCCCTAAACCAGTAGAATAAATGGCAGGTGCTTATTGACCATGAGAATGACATCATGTAATATCTTCTCTTTCAATCTTTTCTCTCCCTCACTTTCCTTGGATGCAACTCAGCATTGAATGTATTTTCACTTAAGATTTGTCTGTCTAGCATATTTACTACCCCTTTACTCGGTTTCATTACTGTTTGCATGGCTAGAAATGCAAGTTATACTTCATATTTC